TTTTCGTTGGGGGACAGCGATCCCTGGGGCTAGAACAGACATTTCTCCCTCTTCTCCCCCCCATCTCCCTAAAAACCCACAACCCCTCTCCCCCACCCCGCAGATGTAGGTCTGAACCCAGGTCCCACTTTGCTGCAGTCTCGGTGGGAAGCGCAGCTCCCCGGTCAGTGTCTGGGCCGAGCTGGGTTGTTCCCCGCCCTGGTCCCAGCCCCCGGTGGGGAGGGGCGTGGGGCTGGGGGGAGCTCGCACTCACCGCTCACAGACACGACGGTGCCAGCGCCGGATCTGATCTCCTCATCGACTACCGACACCTTCACAAACTTCACACAGCGATAGATCCCGGCGTCCTCGGGGCGGGTGTCACTGATGTGGATGGTGAAGTCTGTGTTAGAGCCATTCACAGCCCGCGTCACCCGGGGCAATGATCCCACCTGATCATAAACGAGCTGGCGGCCACTGCCCGAGCCCTTGAACCACTTCACGGGTCCTACTGGGGCATTAGCAGTCTGAGAGCAGATCAGTGTGAGAGTCTCTCCCGCTAGCACCGACACGGCGCCCTGGGGCTGCAGCAGCTGGAACTCCTGGGCCCCGGCCCCTGGAAGGAGAGAACAGGCCGGGCTGGGGGAGGCTGGTTGACAAGCCCCAGTCCCGCAGCAGCAGGGGGTTCAGTCCCAGCCTGGCACCGCTGTGTGGATCCTGCTCCCAGCCCTGCCCGTTAGGGGCTTATTCCTTCACCCGCTCACTTCCCTGGTCCTTCTCCATGAACAGAGAGCAACAAATACCTGAAGTGCAAAGGCGCAAACAATTCCATGTTTATTGGGGTGAACTTCCAGCCAGCAGGATTCCAGTTTCCTTCTCAGTGTCCCCCTTCCCAGCTCTGACACCACAGAGCCATCCCTGTTCCCACTCCCCCTTAGCAAAACATGAGTCCAATTTCCCCACCCCCATTCCCTGTTCCCATCCCCCCCCTTACTTCCTGATTGACTGCAGACTATATAGTAAAACTTGAGTTCGGCTTAGCTATCCCTTAGCCAATCATTTTACTGAAATTTAACTAACCAATCCTGACACATTGTAGCATGGTTATTTAACCAATTATATCCCACCACCTTAATTGGTTTACACCCAACAAAATTAATTATACAGCAGACAGAAACAAGCACAGAACCAGACGGAGACCATGCAAATAAACAGACAAAACAATACAGAAGTGAGGATTTCACAACTACATCTCTACAGACAGAAGGGTTTTCCAGCTGTGTCTATTGATAAGTGAGTTCTTGCCAGACAGGATGCTATCAAACTAAGTTTCCTTTTACCTCTTCTAGGCTCTTCCCTTTCTCTGGAGGTGATGGGAATATCAGGACAGGATTGTATCCTAACAGCCCCATAGCACCTTATTTCCATGTGACTGGTTTGGAATGTGAGGATGTGACCGTTCACTTCTCAAAGGCCTTATTTAGCCTAAGAACAGAGCCGCAGACTGTCACAGTACGAGAAGGCCCTTACACAGGCAGACAGTGATTTTGATTCTCTCTTTTATACCTCTAGAACTAGCTAAGTGATAAGAATACACCTAAATTCTTAAAGTATAACCCTTTACAGACAGGCCTGAATATCTATATCCTAACACTGCCTAGAGCCGGGCCCTGCCCAGGGTGGGGCTTTAGCTGCCCGGGGAGTAACTTTGTGTTGTTCCACAGCGACCCTTACAGGCTGCCCCGGAGCCGCGTTTCCAGAGCTCCGCCCCGGCTCCCGGGAGCAGGCAGGGACCAGGGAGCTGTTGCGCTGAGCGTGAGCAGGAGAGCCAGGGCAGGGACAGAAACTCATGGGCACGAGCAGGGAGAAGGGCCCTGAGCCCAGCTGCTGCGCTGCTCCAGGCACAGAGAAGGAGCTTCTGGGTGTGTCACTTACTGCCAATGAACGGAGGGTTATTTTGCCCCTTGATGGCCCCACACAGACATGATACCCAATGAAGTCTGAAAGCAACACGATTTAAAGGGATAAAAAGAAATATTTTTAACCCAGATCTAACTAACCTGTGGAATTCACTGCTGCAGGATATTGTTGAATCTAATTGCTCAGTAAGATTTCTACAAAAAGATCAGACACTTATAAAAAGAAGACCAGCCCCTGCAGTGACACCAGCTG